CCAATTTGCATAGGTGACCACAGACCCAAACCCTTGGATCTGAGAACAATGAAAAAGCATTCAGTTTTCTTACAAGAAGACTTTTAATAGAAGTAAAGAAATCCTCTCTGTAAAATCAGGATGGTAGATACCTTACAGGTTAATTAGATTCAAAACATAGAGAATCCCTCTAGGCAAAACCTTAAGTTACAAAAAAGACACACAGACAGGAATAGTCATTCTATTCAGCACAGTTCCTTTCTCAGCCATTTAAAGAAATCATAATCTAACACATACCTAGCTAGATTACTTACTAAAAGTTCTAAGACTCCATTCCTGTTCTATCCCCGGCAAAAGCAGCATACAGACACAGACCCTTTTTTTTCTCCCTCCTCCCAGCTTTTGAAAGTATCTTGTCTCCTCATTGGTCATTTTGGTCAGGTGCCAGCGAGGTTACCTTTAGCTTCTTAACCCTTTACAGGTGAGAGGATTTTTCCTCTGGCCAGGAGGGATTTTAAAGGGGTTTACCCTTACCTTTATATTTATGACTGAAGGAGAGTCCACCACCTCCCTAGGTAACGCATTCCAGTGTTTCACCACCCTCCAAGTGAAAAAGCTTTTCCTAATATCCAACCTAAACCTCCCCCACTGCAACTTGAGACCATTACTCCTCATTCTGTCATCTGCTACCACTGAGAACAGTCTAGATCCATCCTCTTTGGAACCCTCTTTTAGGTAGTTGAAAGCAGCTATCAAATACCCGCTCATTCTTCTCTTATGCAGACTAAACAATCCCAGTTCCCTCAGCCTCTCCTCGTAAGTCATGTGTTCCAGTCCCCTAATCATTTTTGTTGCCTTCTGTTGGACGTTTTCCAATTTTTCCACATCCTTCTTATACTGTTGTTGCTCAGCCCCTGCCTGAGGGCCTGAGCACCTGACTCACCAGAGCCCCAGCCTGACCCAGGGCCTGGGTCACTGTGTTTATTTGTACCTGCACCAAGACCATAGAGGAAGACTCCCACGGCTGGACTAATTCCCTACAAGAGCTTTTCCCAAAGGGAGTGAGGAGGTGTGGTTCCTTGCCGCCCAGGAGAGAGCTGAGCCAGGCTAGCCTTTGTAGGTGTTTGTCTCACCTACAAGATATCTATCAAGCATTCTTACAACTACAGTACCCACCTGCTGAAGTGAAGAAACAGATTGACAGAGCCAGAAGAGTACCAGAAGTTACCTACTATAGGATAGGCCCAACAAAGAAAATAACAGAACTCCACTAGCCATCACCTTCAGCCCCCAACTAAAACCTCTCCAACGCATCATCAAGGATCTACAACCTATCCTGAAGGACGACCCATCACTCTCACAGATCTTGGGAGACAGGCCAGTCCTTGCTTACAGACAACTCCCCAACCTGAAGCAAATACTCACCAGCAACCACACAACAAAAACACTAACCCAGGAACCTATCCTTGCAACAAAGCCCATTGCCAACTGTGTCCACATATCTCTTCAGGGGACACCATCATAGGGCCTAATCACATCAGCCACACAATCAGAGGCTTGTTCACCTGCACATCTACCACTGTGATCATAGAATCATAGAATATCAGGGTTGGAAGGGACCTCAGGAGGTCCCACAGTATTCTTGCCAGCAAGTTAAAGAAGTATGGGCTGGATCAATGAACTATAAGGTGGATAGAAAGTTGGCTAGATTGTCGGGCTCAACAGATAGTGATCAATGGCTCCATGTCTAGTTGGCAGCCGGTGATATATGCCATCATGTGCCAGCAGTGCCCCTCTACCATGTACATTGGCCAAACCGGACAGTCTCTACGTAAAAGAATAAATTAACCCAAATCAGACATCAAGAATTATAACATTCAAAAACCAGTCGAGAACACTTCAGTCTCTCTGTTCACTCAATTACAGACCTAAACGTTGCAATTCTTCAACAAAAAAACTTCAAAAACAGACTCCAACGAGAGACTGCTGAATTGGAATTAATTTGCAAACTAGATACAATTAACTTAGGCTTGAATAAAGACTGGGAGTGAATGTGTCATTACACAAAGTAAAACTATTTCCCCATGTTTATTTTCCCGCCCTACTGTTCCTCACACGTTCTTGTCAACTACTGGAAATGACCCACCTTGATTATCACTACAAAAGGTTTTTTTTCTCTCCTGCTGGTAATAGCTCACCTTACCTGATCACTCTCGTTACAGTGTGTATGGTAACACCCATTGTTTCATGTTCTCTGTGTATATAAAATCTCCCCACTGTATTTTCCACTGCATGCATCTGATGAAGTGAGCTGTAGCTTATGAAAGCTTATGCTCAAATAAATTTGTTAATCTCTAAGGTGCCACAAGTCCTCCTTTTCTTTTTGCGGATACAGACTAACATGGCTGCTACTCTGAAACCTATCCCACCAGTACTCTTCCTTGTAATCCATTGCTACCAAGATTACTAACATTCCAGACTGATAAACAGCTTTCAAACAGCCGCCATTTAAAGAAAAAAAAAAGTCAAAAATGTCTCCTCCTTTTACCCCAAATGTGAAATTCCCTCCCATCTCCATATTACTTTGACCCAAGATCCAGGATAGATATTCATTAATATATGGTTCTATAATTTATCACATGGCTGCAGAAAAGAAGTTGTTTAATATATGGGATATTATTACATGATCAGTGGCATATAATTTCTATAAACCAATATAGTGAGAATATCCATATGATGAACTCTGTATTTAGTTCCTTATCCTGGTCCCCTTCAAGTTCATGATTTATTTACATTGACTTAATTGTTGCCCTTGGGCCCTGATTCTGTACACACACTTACACATGTGAGCAACTTTATGCATATAAATACTCCCATTGGCTTTAATAAAGCTGCTCATGTGAATAAAGTTATGTTTTTGCAGGTTCAGGGGCTTGTTTTGAACCTGTATTAATCCTCACCTGCTCTTTGCTCATTGGTTTATATCATATAGGCCTATATTTTATATTCCACATTTTAGAATATATTTTAGACAGCTGCCGTGTCAAAAAAAATATACATATATATTTTAAAAAGTGTCAAATGTTTCTTTCTCCTCAAATATGCAAACTTTCTCCCTTAAATTACAGTGATCCAAGATGACAAATTGCAATCCTGTATTAGTGGCATTTGCATTATTACTGAAGAGATGGAAATGTCCTCTTTGTAATGGTGTAAAGGCAAGGATGATTTTGTGGTTAAGGCATCACACTGCACCTTAAAAGACCTGAGTTCAGTTCCTGGCTTTTTCAAAGACATCTCGTGTGACCTTCTAAAAGTCACTTGGGCTTGTCTACATGAACATTTAGTTCTCGACAAGATGCAATGTGAATCTCCCCCGCACCACCCTGCCATGTACTAACTGTCCATATGAACATTGCTGTCATGTAGTAATGGATCATTAGTTCATTTTGGTCTAGTCCTATGTCAAAGAGGACTAGATCAAAGCAAACTAACAAACTGTTAATGTTCATCAGCAGGGTCCACACAGATAGTTTAGTTGGCAAACTAGTGCAGAATAAATTCACACCTCAGCTTGCTGCAAACTAATTGTTTGTGTAAACAAGCCCTTAATTTCTCTGCCCTCCAGATTGTCCTATTTATACTCAAAAGTCTCTTACAACTTGCTGAAGAAGGATGATCTTGTGGTTAAAGGACTACGGTGGGAGTTGAGAGAATTGGGTTCAGTTACCAGCTCTGCCACAGACTTCCGATGTGAGCTTCAGCAAGTTATTGAATTTCTCCTTGGTTCCCCATCTATAAAATGGGGATAATACTTCCTTCCTCTTACCCTTTGCCTGTCTTGCCTGTTTAGAGCATAAGCTGTTTGCAGCAGGGACTGTTTGTTATTATGTGTATATGCACAGGCACTTCCTAACAAAATGGGGGTTCTAGGAACTTCTGTCATATTAATAATAAAATTAGTTACTTCTATTAGATTGCAAGATACTTAATCTTAAAATCTAGAAAAGCTATTTAAGATAGTTTTTAAAAGTATTAAAATGAATGCTATTTGCCCATCTAAGTCTGCTACCATAAAACTAATGGTAATAAGGAACTTGGGCTTCTTGGGGAGAGGTAATAGATTATAATTATTAATTATAATAATAATTAATAAAAATCAACACGCCAAAATTTTAAAATTACTTTTTCATATAAACAAAATATGTGATGATGTATGTTTTTATATTTTGTGTTGTCATCTGCATAATTGACTCCTGGCTTCACTATTTGTGGGGATAGAACTATGCCAAATTTTTACCAATAAAAACCTTTATACCACCACACACCATCATGGAATCTTTGTTACTCTGTAATAATTAAATCTTTTAATGTAAATATCTGACAAGAGAATCAAGAATGGTAGGTGTATCATTTCCTTTTTGACTATATATCTGTATTTAAACTGAACTATGTCTTATTTTATATTTTTCCAGCAGTACATTACACAGTATCTAGCCTTGGAGGGTTTTTTTTCCACATGCACACGTTTCAAGAGAGGTTACAGAAATACATGAACAAGCCCCATGAAGAGAACAATGGGATTTTGAAAATATCTGATTTTCTTTTTTTATGTAAAGGAAGCCTTTACTTTGGGAATGTCTACATTTCAACTTAGTAGTAGGCTAGAGGAAAATACCTTCTATTAATTTAATTTAGTTCTTCATGAAAGTTGCTGTTATATTAGTGAGATTATAGTAAGATTATATTAGTAAGATTATAAATTTATCATGTGTCCCAGTTTCCTTTTTGCTGAGAAATTGCAAAGCAAAGCTAGAACACAATGAAATCCACTTTTGTTTGTCCTGTTAAGACATACATGTGTGTATGAGTAGTAGATACTTGTGCTTAAAGTTAAACATGTGCATAAGTCTTTGCAACATCAGGGCCTCAGATTGCAGGATAGGTGTTTCCTCCTCTTGTGCATATGGTACATACATGTGCAGATTTAAAAGTCTCATGTATTGCTGCTCTTATTTCAGGTAATAATTGCCCTAGCAGAGAAACATCGATCTCACATTCCCTACAGGAACTCTATGATGACTTCGGTGCTCAGAGACAGCCTGGGAGGAAACTGCATGACCACCATGATTGCAACACTCTCTTTAGACAAAAGAAACATAGATGTATGTCATCCCTTTCTGAATTTGTTAATGTTTTCTTTTCATGTGTGTATGCTTAAATTTCTGACACGCTAAAGTTTTGAAAATCTTTCTTGCCAATGCCTCCAATGTGCAATCTTGTCAATGGAAATTGCAGTATGATAGACTAAAATCATCACTTATGTCCACTACATAAGCGATCTATGTGTAACTGACTTCACATTTCAAAGCCAAATTCTGATCAATTATGTGGGTGAATGTAACCTGTCTATAATATTATAGTACCCTTGACAGATCTTACAAGATATGCAGCAGTATTAAACATTAGCTGGGTTCAGAATCAGGCTCTAATGTATCCTTTATTAATTGTGTTATTCTTTAAGTAATCTCAGATGAGGGGGAACAGTGATAGAGGAGATATGCCTAGTGATGAATAGGTGAATACTTAAAACCTGATGATGAAGAAATGTGTGAATTGTGAGTAAGGTTTGGCAAGGAATTTTCCCAAGGGCATGTTGATAAGGACTGCTGGTGCAGTCCTGCCCCCCTGAAGTCCATATCAGTACTCCCATAGACTTCAGTGAGGCCAGGATTTCACTCTTTGGGTATTGGGGGAGGGTTGTGGGTGGGGTTTGATTGAGGTGCTGGGAGGAATGTATGCACATGTTTTGGTTTGTTGGCCTTTCTGTGGATCAAGTTGGTTTATCTATCTGTCTTTCCTATCTGTTTTTTTTTTAATTTAGACATGTTCTAGGTCAGTGGTTCTCAACCTATTTATCATTGTGGGCTGCATGTGCGACCAACAGTGTGTTACTTGGGCTGCAGGTTGAGAACCACAGCGCTCCCCCAACCCTTCCACAGACCCCTATGCCCAGCGCCCCTCTCTTCCCCCATCCAGAGACTCACCTCTACAGAGTGAGGGCCAGAAGTGGAAGTGTAGGGCAGGCGGCAGGGACCCCAGACCCCACACCCTGCCATGCAAGGTCAGGTGGCAGTCCAAGACCCCGTCATGCGGCAGCCCCAGCCCCAGGACCCTGCTGTGCAAGGCCGGGCAGCAGCCCTGATCCCGGTGCATGGGGCCTGGCCAGGCAGCCAGGACCCTGGACCCCACTGTGCGGGTCAGGCAGTCTTTAGCACACAGCTGGGCTGCAGCTGTTTGCTAATTGGGCTGCATGTGGCCCACGGATTGAGAACCACTGTTCTAGGTGTTCTGCAGGTTGTGCCTGGACTAGCTACAATCTAGTTAAATCCTAACCTTCCATAAAATCAGAACATTTTAAAATGAACAAAAACCAAGTTATTCTCAGACATATAGTGGAAAGAACTAATGATCTGTAAAAGGAAAATAAGGTGATCTTTTACTAGCTGAAGCACAAGATAGGATACATTTTTAATGTACTTATTAAGAGTTGTGAACAGGTAATTGTGCAGGCATAACTTGTAGCTGCACATGCAAATGCATAGTTCTGTCTATGCAATTATCTGTGTTGTGTGCTGCTGTCACCCATTTTGTACATCCAGTCACCAGTTTGTATCCTGGTGAGTCTATTTTGTATTGGAATTTAGGCTCCTATTTAGAAATATTTGATCCAATCACTGAATCAGCCAGAATGAGCCAGATATTAATGATACAGTGACAGTTTTCAGTTTCTTGCTGCAATATCTACTAGCTATTACACTTTATTTATTTGGGCTGAAATTTTCCAAAAAAATTTAGCCCGAGGCAGACATACAACAATAAAATTTCAGCCCAAATGAATAAAGTTTGTCAATGTTATATACAACCTAAAAGAGGATCAACTGCAGTAAGAAGTGTTGAACAACATTAATAATAGGTGGTGCTGCTAGCCCAGTCTATAATATGTAATTTAATAATTACATATGAAATCATTGTGATAGGACATTTTTTAGGATTCCTGTCTTGAAAGGAAATGCTTTGGCTTTGCCTAAACATTTATTTTTGAAAAATGCCACAGCATGATTTAGAAGTTGTTTATCCTGTAACTGCTTTTTGTTCTACTGATGTTCCCTTTTATTTAGAGGGCTAGATCTTTAGCTCTTGATATTGAAGTTAGTTGTGAATTTGGCCCATAAATGTTAAGTTTTCTAGTGAGGAGTGTGGAGGTAGGGGGTACTGATATGGTGTTCTCTTTGAAGGTACTTTGACTTTGCAACTTACTTTCCCCTTAGCTCACCAAAGTCTGGATTTGTTAACTTTTTGCTGCAAATCCTACCTCTTTTTTGTGAGTATTGGTGATAGAATGGGTTGATGAGTTGGATATGGGTGTCTTTATTTGAGAGGTTTATCTGGCAGGTTAATAAGTTGATAGTTAGAATAATTGTACTGAATTTTGTTTGTTTTTTTTTAGAGATTTGAAGTGCCAGGAGTGTGAGATTGGTACTGTAAAATGTAAAATTAAAAAAAAAATTCCTCCTTAAAATAGCACTCAGCGTTGAATTTAGCAAAACCATTTATATCAGTGCATGCTAAAGGAGTTTTTTTTTCTTTCCAGGAATCTATATCAACCTGCAGATTTGCACAGCGAGTTGCACTTATTAAGAATGAGGCAGTTCTTAATGAAGAAATTGACCCTAGACTGGTAAGAGGGTTTTTGGGTGGTGGCATTGTTTTTTTGTTTTGTTTAGTTTTAGTAAAAAGGGACAGCCATATGTATGTTGAAGATTTCATGATGCCATTAAGTCATGTTTAGATACAAGTCCCAGCTTTTGCTGTAAAATTGCTGCTGTTGTTTTTATTTGTCCATCTGAGGATAATTACAATTAACCTGACCTCTATTTTATGTCACTGTAAATTATCTCATGGTGAAGTCCACAGCAGCAGTGACTAGTGTTCCGTACATTATTTCCAGGGAAGGCTCATTACCATGCCATATGAGCCAGATCACTGATAAATATGCAGTGTAAGGTTTGGTAAAACTAAGGAATATCCACTTTGTGCTTGAGCTAAGAGCATTAAGATGAAGCAAGTTTGAAACTGTTATTCTAGAGTGGGGCCACTTCTCTGTTATTGCAGCATGAAGACTGGTTAATTCTCAAAAGGAGGACCATATATATGAACATCTCATGGTTTTAACTATTTGCTTTTGAAATTAAAACCTCTGAGAACTGTTCACTGTGTAAACTTATCATTAATAATCCTACTGTACATAGAGAATTCACTCCTGAAGATGACTTAGCTTGACTCTGACATTTTTTTATACATAGACCATAAATATATTAGAAATCAAACTAAACTTTCAGCATAGAGCAAATGTAGTAAGTACACGATGAAAGATTTCATTCAGTAAGATTTAGATTTAGTAGTATCAGCCAGTGACAAATCTGTTCATGAATTATATTTTTGAATCTACTATTTGTAGATTTCTTATAAGGTATTCTCCTCTTTTCTGCTGATAATATTTCTGCTTCTCAGTTACAGTAAAGAATAAATCTACATTACAGGAAGTCTCTTTACAATGTGACATTTATATGAGGAAGGCAAACTCATTTGGTTGTTTGAATCTTTTCAAGGATTTGAGTAGGGGCTGTTTTCACTGCCTATTATGAAGTTTGCCTGACACTTCCGATTATAAGACCCTGTGTTCAGTTGCTTATAACTTTGCCAAATCTTAGCGCTGAAATTTTCCATGCAGGATGTCTGTCACAAGCTGAATTATTTATTTATTTATTTATTTATGTATCTGAAAATTTCTGCCAAAATTGTGTAACTGATTCTGAGAAGACCAAGGCTATGGAAAAATGTTGTTTTGTTTTGTGACCTTTTATTTGTACACCTCTAGAGCACCCATGCTTTGGGGCCAGGGATTTGAAATTTGGCAGAGGGGCAGACTGTGTCAGGGATATCTCATCTCTGTGAAAATACAGCCACATGTGGCCAAGTTGTAAGCCTTTGAAAAAATCAGTTTCCATATGCTCAGTAGAGACCACTTAGATTTTAGCAGCTAAATGCCCTGAAAATTTCACTCACATTAAGCATACTCCAGCCCAGGGCTCAGAAGGACTTTCTCTTCAGTTGCAGCTCTGGAATGCTGTGGTGCCCTGCTAGATCTGGAAACCTGAACTAGGAAGGAAGGAGTTTGTTTTTCCTGTGTCCTCAGTGACCCTCTACTGGGCCCAGGCAGTGTGAAGGAAGAAGCTGCCTGATTTGAATGTAGAGGGGACAAGAGCTGGAAGTGCAGGGTGAGGGTACTAGAGGGAGTAGATTGGGACAAGGAGCCTTAGGGGGAAGGGGAGTTGAAAGTAGGATAGGAGGTTGTTGGATGTGGGAAGAGGAAAATTGGGACTGGGAGTTCAGATACTATAATTAGCACAAAAGAAAATCTGATTGAAAAATTAATAATTCTGTCTTCAGAGGAGGATTTGAATAGCGTGCAGTAAGTAAGGCACAGGCCACAAATTGAACTGTTAGTAGAAAATAAAATATTGAATAGCTGCTCATCAAGTGAGCACTGTCCATCCTGTGCCCTGAATGCAACAGGGCTCTTGTGGGGAAAAAAAAAAAAAACAGTATGTGATCAAGTAATTCAAGAGTGTATCACAGTTCACACACAGAGGGCTGGATTAAGTTTGCACAGGCAACTTTACTTCTGACATTTACTAACTTTTGAGTCTTTGACTTTGTAAACTTAATGTTTTTTAACAGAGTAGTCTTGTATATGTAATATAGACAGTAGCAGGTTCCTGACTGCGTAAGATTTCATTTAAAAAAAACTGAGACAAAACTTAAATGCAAAGAAAGTCCAGCTGCCAGAACAATAACGTTTAAAATTAACATGAAATGGCTTTACAGGTGTTACTTCTACTGGAGTTTTCCAAATGGCTGCCATTGATGTAGTAGCCAAGTCTATGATGTCCAGTAAATACTCTAGCCTGATTGGTTTACTTTCCATATTTCATTGCCAAAATTCCTTTCCACAATAGCACATAGTACTTCTTGTGATGTGTTTCAGTGTGCATATTGCACTTCCTGTGTAGTGTGATACAGCATAGCCAGAAGGCAGCAGGAGAGTGATATAGTAGAGATATGTAAGTCCCAGGATGAGGAGAAGCCTTATTCCCTGTAGAGGGAAGAAAGGTTTCTATAGATTAATTAAAAGCACATGAAGCCAATTAGAGCACCTGAAGGCAGTCACCTGACAAACCCCCCCCCCCCCCGCTTCAATCAGCCAGGGGAAGGAGTTGGAGCAGAGAGCAGTTTGAAGGAGTTGAAGTAGAGGAGAGTTTGGAGAACTGCTGTGGCTGGCTAGAAGACCAAGACCCTAGGTAAAGAGACACCCGGCTTGTGCAGAGAGAGAGAAGGCAGGAAGCCCCACAAGCTGAAGAGCAGGAGAGGGAAGTAGCCCAGGGGAAGGAAGCCCTAGTTCAAGTGGTTTGCCACTATGCTTCTCTGGGTTACTAGTGGGACAGTAGATACCCTAGTTCAGAGACATGAAACTGTGCCCTGAAAACCCCCCCCCTCCCCTACCCACAAGAAGAGGAAGCGCGGGACCCATCATAATCGTGCCAGCAATTTGCCACAGTAGCTAAAGTAATTTAACTTTCAGTCCCATGCTTTTCTCTACCTTACCTTTCCCAAGTGTGCTGCAGTTGCCTATGTACTGCTTGCCATGTGCTATTGCTTCTTACTGTTCACAAAGTCAGTATGTGTGAATGCTTGTCTATTTTATATTTCTCTTTATTCTAATTTTGTTTTCATCCATAAGTAATAATTTTCTTATTAAAGATGGTTAGGAAGAATAAAAAAGGGAAGAAAAAATAACATCTGGTAGACACAAGAACATTGATAGGATTTGTGTCAGTGGATACTTTATTGTTTCATATTGATGGCTTGAGATCAGAGAATTCTAAATGTAATCCTCATGTATATATCATCATCTGTCTGCCCTGATTAATAATGGCATAATCTAGTAGGAAGATGGTACACCACATTTAGTACCACAAGCATCCTGACATTTTAGCTGAGAAAAACATCTTAATGCAGACATATTTTCCCGTGGCATTAACATTACCATCTTATCATTTTGATTTAATTTTTTTACACACAATGTGTCTCTTTATGGTATCTGTTAATGCTGAAACTTTGCATTTAAGCCATGTATACAGTGTTGATCCTTTAGAAGTTCAGTTACATAAATACTACAAGAATAGAATTTACTTTTCTATGCTACAGTTAGTGCTATATAAAACTCCTAGCATAGGGAAGTGAGGGTTCTTATAGCCCCTTGCACAGTATAATTATCCAAAAAATCAGAAGTCCTGAGCATCCAGCACCTTCAGTGGGCTCTGCTAGGTGCTCAGCACTTTTGAAAATTAGGACACTTAGACATCTAAGTAAGGATTTAGAAATCTAACTTTCACCATATATTTTTAAATCTTGGCTGTAAGCTTTAATTATTTTTTTATAATCCATTATTGGGGTTTTTTACTAGCATATTAGAAGTTTAAATATAAGTAAAGTTTTTTCCAGCTATCTGAAATAAGAATTTCAGAGTTAGTTCTCCACTTTTCTGTTATAAAAGCAATTCACTGGGTCTCAGGAGAAAGAACAGTGGGCGTGCCATCTACATTTGTCTTGTTTCTTTCAAACACTTGGTCCTTGCACTGGCAGAGATAGCAATGCAAGGTAGAACTCACTATACTTAGGGTGGGAAGAGATGAGAACTTTTACTGAGTTTTAGAAATGAACTATCCTTTCTAAACTTAAATTTGGCTTCCTTTAATCTTGTGTTTTCTGTAACAATAATTATTGATCCATGTTTATTTAGATGGGCTATTTAAAACTTAGAAGCATTCAGCAGAAATGGAAGGGAAAAAGGGTGGCAATAGCTGTCTTAGTGATAAAATAGTTGTGGCTTCATAGCTCTGTAGAAATAAGGTACGCTACTGAGGTGGCATGCTTAATCCAGCGCTTAGTATGATGTAAGGCTTAGAACTGTTTCTTGGAGCAGTCTTCACGCAGGTCTGCTGTACTTCTCTCTATCCAGGAAAAGAGGTTCCGTTGCTCCAGTTGCCATTAAGGAAGGAGGAGGAAGACTAAATCAAATAGAAATGGGATTTCTATGATAAAATGTTAGGCAGTAGACCTTGTTCAGCTCCTGAGGGAAGCAGGGAGGATTGAGGAAGAGAGCAGGGGGCTGAGAAGGAAGTTCCAGAAGAGGAGATGGGTTATAATCCACAGTCATAAAGGGAAAGTTTGCCACAAAAAAACTGCTTCCTTTGATGTATGTAACAGAATTAGAATATATACATTTGTCTATTTGACTTGTGGCTACTGTTTCCATTAAAAGATGCTATATGCAACACCCAGATTCACTGCATATTAACTTCATTTGATGAGAAGGTCTGTATTCCTGAAAGTTGGTATATTAGGAAGTAAAATAAAAAGTAATTTTCTGCACTGGTTACATAACCAATAACTTGTTTCCTTTGAAAACTCAGAGAGCATCATTTTAAGGAATGATCAGTTCAGTACACTACAGCACATAATAATAGCTGTCTCAGCAAGTGGGCTGCATATTGAACATCAAACGATATTCTCTTCCGACACAGTGCAACATTCGGGTAATGTTACATAAATTTCTCCAGAGGGAGAAAGCTTGGATGCAGTGAGGAAAGAGTGATAGATGTGTTGCAGTATATAGAGAACAACAAAGATCTAAGAAGGAATATAAGTTCAAGATAAAATCTCATTGTATTATTTTGTTGATATCCAACTACTAGTATTGGAACCCATAATTCTTAGTGGGCATAAAACTGCAGAAATGGAGGCTATCTTTGAAAACTGGACCATTGCTTTTCATCTTTGAAGAACACAGAATTTAAATGATTCTAGTTGAAACTATTTTGGGTCCCTTTTTTGTTCAGCATAACTTCCATAATCAATTCTTTTTAATACTCTAAAATAATCATTATAATTTCTGAAGTCTGACACAGTTAATTTTAATTGTATATTTTGTATTTCTGTGGACCCATAATTGGTTAATTTAAAAAAATGAAGAAAGGGTTTTATATGACATAGGAGGCAGTTGATTTCTCAGGCATGTTTTTTTCTTTTGATTAATGAGTATCCTAACTCTGACTGACATTTACTGTTATCTAACACATTTCAGCCACCACTGTTAATGGGGCTGTGTTTATTTTAACTTGGTCTTAATGTTCAGAGAGGATAGGAGTGATCCTTGCTGGGTCTTCTCACACTTTGCTATAAATTCTTTCTCCCACAACTCCAGCTATTAAAAAAACTTAAAATGAGAGGCAAGTTGAAGGATAATAAAAGAAGTTTAACATTGCATGAGATGTTTTTTACCATATAGGGTTAAATCCTGCCACACCCTTTTCATGGCCCCAGAAGTCTTAATTGCAGTGAAACACATGCAGGGCCCCCAACATTTACTACATACTGCAGAGCTTTCCTTCCACATGTTCAGTGTGCTGCCATCTGCAAGGTGGTGTTTGGGGAGCAAAGCATAGTTGGCCTAGAGAGGAAATGGAGTTAGTGGATCTGTGATTTTATGAATCGATTGGCCATTCCCTCCCATGGAGTAAGGGGATAAAGCACAGGAACCATAGAGGCTACATGGTTCCATGACCACACTGTGGCCTAAGGGGATTCCTTGTCCTTCATCACTACCACAGTTATCTTCCCAGTGCACAGCTGTGTGTGCTGGGCTTATGATTTGGCACATAAAATTAAACACCATACTAGTTTCATGATTCATCATCTTTACTGTAAGTGCAGGTCATACAAAGGGAGTGCATAACACCTTAGTGCTACTAAGGTAAGTTTGACCCTGAAATGTATTTTATCCCTCACTAAGGAGAGTTACTGTATGTTTTTCACTGTTTATTTCAGCTAAACTGACCAATAGATGTGGAATCTTTTGATGCCCATTTTCTTCTCTTCTTCTTTAAAGCAGTTTAGCTTTGACTACCTCTGTTTCCAGACAAAAGTAGGATTTAGTTCAAACTAAAAACCAAACGCTGAGCTTCAATTGAATCTAGTATACTGTTGGCACTAATCAAAAAAAGATTAATAGTGAGCTGTAACTCACGAAAGCTTATGCTCAAATAAATTTGTTCGTCTCTAAGGGTGCCTCAAGTACTCCTTTTCTTTTTTTAGAATAATAGTGTGACGTTCCCCTGGTGTTATCTGGACCTGTGATCTGCTAGATCACTCCAATCTTTGATTCTGGGAGCCAGCCTTACCCTGCTCTGCTCTGAGAACCCCCACTCCTGGGCTGTTCACGCACAGCCTCTAGCGTGTAAGCTGCTACCAGCTATGTGAGTGAGCACTTTTGGCCAGCCTCTGCTTGGACTGTGCAACTGAATGACACTAGTCATATCTCCAGTCCCAGACACAATCCTAGGAACCTCCATTTTGTAGTGTCCAGTTATGCCTGCTGGATGCTGCAAGCTTATTTGAGTTCGTCAATTTAACAAAGAATTGATATGCACCAGGCTTGTTATCCCAAGGGGAGTCTCTGACACGCTTCAAACCAAACTCACTGCTTCAGGTAGAATAAACAAACAAATGTATTAACTACAAAAGATAGACTTTAAGTGATTATAAGTCAAAGCACGACGAGTCAGATTTGGTCAAATGAAATAAAAGTAAAACGCATTCTAAGCTGATCTTAACACTTTCAGTGCCCTTACAAATGTAGATGCTTCTCACCACAGGCTCACTGGTTGCGCTTCAGCCAGGCTCTCCCCTTTGTTCAGCGCTTCAGTCGCTTGGTGGTGATGTCTGTAGAGGGAGGTGGAAGAGACAGGAAGAGCATGGCAAACATCTCTCCCTTTTATCATGTTCTTTCTTCCCTCTTGGCTTTGCCTCCCCGCTTCAGGGTCAGGTGAGCATTACCTCATCGTAGTCCCTGACTGACTAAGGGAAGGGGGGTGACTCACTTGAGAGTTCAACAGATCCTTTGTTGCTGCCTAGGCCAGTATTCTTTGTTCCTGTGAGACTGGGCTGGGTTTGTCCCATACATGCACTGATGAGGTGTGAACTGCCTCTCTGTTCCTGGAGAGTTTTGCCTGGGCTTGTTTTAAGCCATGAGGACACATTTTCAACCTCATAACTGTATGCATGAAATTACAACCTATAACATTACTATAACAACAATGCTCAGTGCATCATGAGCCTTCCTAAGACACCCAACATGACAAACTTTGCATTGGATACTGCACAATCATATTATAAGGATGAACATGGGGGTGCAGGGTGTTCCCTATGAGATAAAGAGTGTCACTAATAGTATTTTATAATTATGGTTATTTGGTTATTTTTAACACTGTTTTTAAAAAATCAACATTTTACTCCTACCCTGTAGATTGCATTTCAAATATAGATCAGATAAATGTTAATCATTGTAACGTTTGAAATCGCTAACTAAAGGTGCAGAGTCAGCTGCACACACTGCCTTTTTATACTTCCAGCCTAAATTTTCACTTTAAAGTTTGTACCAAGTACTGGATCAGTATCAGAAAGTAACAGTAGAGTAACCAGTCCTAATATCAGATTAAAAATCCTGACATGCCAATGGGAATACAGTACATTTATGGTGGTAATCAGAGAGTTTGTAATGAGACATTTATCAGCATATTTAATTCTCATATAAAATACTTTGTTGAGTTGCAGTAAAACTTTCAAAGTACCTATGGTCCCAGTTATGTAAACATTAAAAAAAACTTTCAACAGTATTTTAGTTATTTTTAAAAAAATCAGAAATGCAGGAAATTCAAAGTTACAGTTAAATTTATGGTTAAGAAATCCATATATCTGAAAGGATTTTAATGCATGATTAGAACACCCAAAGAATCTTAACTGTAGGAGCATATACAATCAGATATGTTTAATTTTGCCTGAAATCCATGCCATGTAACATTTGAAAGGGCTGCCTTTTTAAAGCTATTGTATGTGGAATCAAGGCCTTCATATTTATTAAGGGTTTTGAAAAATAATGTACTTTTGATATTTCTCTAACCCGTCATAAGATGTTAATTCATTAAAAGGGCCAAATCCGGAGAGGTGCCAAGTACCTGCTGTTCATATTTTAGTCAAGGGGAGTTGCAGGAGGTCAGCACCTCACAGGATTTATTCCTAGGATATTGTATTGCCAGAAGTCTCCTCATACAAACTTTCTGTTTTAAAGCAATGAGATTCAGGTTCCAATAGTGACAAAATTAGGAAACACAATATAGATATTCAGATCACCTCCTCAATTACTTCTACTTATTAATGTGGTTTAATTACTTCTCATTATGTTGATTCATAATACTTGCTGGTTATTGGCTGTATATGAATGAAGCACAGTGTACCTTTATATTGGAGAACATTGATTTTTATATTTTAAAAAATTTCTACATTAAAAATTTAGTTTTCATTTAGAAACTTATTTTGCTAAAGAAGAAAAGAATGATCCAGCTTTGGGGTGTGGTTGTCCAATCTTTTACTCTTTTTGGCAAAGATACAATAACAAGTAAAAGTAATGTCATAAAATTCTCTTCCACTCCAATGACAAATTATTTTTCTTATATATAATCTTTTAAAATCATGCTGTACATCCATGTCTTCTAACACATACAATTTACTGAATTTGGAAGGCTTTTTCCATTTTTATAAATGGAAAAGACAAGTGGAATATATTTAGTCATTTTGGCCTATTTGAAAAAAAGGAAATTGTAAAATGAGAGTGAAAAAAAAACACACACAATGTAATGTTCTATTGATCTCAGGTTTCTAATGCAAAGATCATGGTCTACCCATTAATCAGAAGGTGATGCTTGTTTTATTGCCTTGCCATTTGTAGATGATTATCCAGCTGAAGAAGGTGATCCAGGAACTGAAGGATGAGCTGGCCATGGTAACTGGGGAGCAAAGAACAGAAGAACTCACACAAGAAGAGCTACTTCAGTAATGCTTAATATTTTCTTTTTCTACATTCACAGTGAAAGTTTTTGTTACCTTCTCTGTTGGCATAATGAAGTCCAACTGACCTCAAAGCGTTAAATTCCTGGAGACAATAATAAAGTGCAGTTAGGCGCCAGGTTAGAGTGACAACTTTCCATGAAAAGCTGTACTAGGCTGCTGGCGGTGTTTTCATAGCTTCAGCTTTGAGAAAGTAAAGAAAAGAGAATGTGAAGGATGGGAATATCCATCAGATCCCAGCTGAGAACTGTTGTATAATAATGCAAAGTAAAAAAAACCCAAACACTCTCAATACTGGATGTAAGTTCTGAAAAGAATTCAAGAACCGTCCTTTCTGTTGAGAAGTATCTTGCTGCAGTGTGTTTGTCCAGTATCAAAGAAAACTTGCACTACTAATACGTAAAAAGAAAAGGAGTACTCGTGGCACCTTAGAGACTAACAAATTTATTTGAGCATAAGCTTTCATGAGCTGGAGCTGTAGCTCACGAAAGCTCATGCTCAAATAAATTTGTTAGTCTCTAAGGTGCCACGAGTACTCCTTTTCTTTTTGCGAATACAGACTAACACGGCTGCTACTCTGATACTAATACATAGTACATCTGTGCCTTAAAAGCCAAACATTTAGAATTTTATCAAGCATAGTATTCAAAGAGCATGTTTAATACATATAAGTGTTTTGGGAGCATATAACTTTGCTGTAATAAAACAGTAGAACATAATGTAAGGTAGTTCTGTGCCTGGTCTAGAAATATAGTCTGGAGCCGCTATACTCTATTCCAGTGTTTCTCAACCAGGGATACGCGTACCTTGAGGGTTATGCAGAGGTCTTCCAGGAGATTCATCAACTCACCTACATATTTGCCTAGTTTTACAATAGGCTACATAAAAAGCACTAGAAAAGTCAGTACAAACTAAAATTTCATAGACTATGACAGGTGTAGGCAACCTATGGCACGCGAGCTGATTTTCAGTGGCACTCTCACTGCCCGGGTCCTGGGGTCCCAGGGTTTCTGCTGCTGGCTTGGGATACCATCTGCCGGCCCCCTGCCAGCTGGGGTTCCATCCACCAGCCCTGCTAAGCCCGCTGACGGCTCCCGCTCCTGGCCACCGGTCCCAGGGGCTCCACTGTCGGCCTGGGGTACCGTCTGCCGGCCCCACTCAGCCCACTGCCGGTCCTAGCCCCCAGTCCGGGGGGCTCTGCTGCCGGCCTGGGTTCCCGGACACCAGCCCGGGGCTCTGCAACCACCCCCAGCTGTGGCCCACTGGCCCCAGCCTGGGGCAGTGAGGGGTGCAGACAGGGGCAAGAGGGGCGCAGCTCAGCACCCCCACCTTAAAAATTGTTCCCGCGCCACTATGCTGGGATATTTTTAAGTCCTGATTTACTGCTTACATCACCATCATGCCACGTGGAACAGCGCACTGCGTTTGACATTGAGATTAGAATGTACGTGCAAGTACTGGAATCAGAATTTTCTGACAGATTTCAAGATTTCCAGTGATTTGGCCCAATGCTTTCTGTTCTAATTAAACCTGAAAAGTTCAATGAAAGCGACTTGGATTTGTCTGTATTTCAGTGGATGGGTGCTGAAGATTTTGAAATGCAGCTCATTCAGTTAAAAAGTTCAGAATTGTAGGCATCAAAGTTTGGAGATCTGTGGAGTGCACTTGAAGCTACCGAGAGAGATCATGGGGCCTCTATTCTGACCTGCTGGACGTCCCTGCCAGTGAAATATAACCGTTTGAAGAAAATTGCGTTTGCAATGCTTTCAGCATTTGGATCCACATACCTGTGTGAACAGGTATTTTCACACATGAAATCTGTCCTCTGTCCCTCTCAGAGCTGGTTAACAACTGATCACTCAGAAGCCTGTGTGCCGTTTAAAGTATCCAAATATGTGCAAGACACTGGAAAACTCAGCAAGGAAAAGCAAGGACCAGGATCACACTAAACTGATAAGATCTGCATTTTAATTTAATTTTAAATGAAGCTTCTTAAATATTTTAAAAACCTTATTTACTTTTCGTACAACAATAGTTTAGTTATATATTATAGACTTATTGAAAGAAACCTTCTAAAAACATTAAAAGGAATTACTGGCTTACAAAACCTTAAATTAGAGTGCATAAATGAAGACTCGGCACATCACTTCTGAAGGATTGCCGACCCCTGGACTATGACATGTTTATACTGCTCTATATACTGTACACTGAAATGTAATTATAATGTTTATATTCCAATTGATTCATAATTATATGGTAAAAATAAGCAATTAAGCAATTTTTCAGTAATAGTGTACTGTGATACTTTTGTATTCATATGTCTGATTTTGTAAGCAAGTAGTTTTAAGTGAGGTGAAACCTTGGGGTATGCAAGACAAATCAGACTCCTGAAAGAGGTACAGTAGTCTGAAAATGTTGAGAGCCATTGCTCTATTCCCAGCTTTGATAATGACTATCTATGTGGCTTTGAGCAACTCACTTAATTTCTCTATGCCTCATCTGTAAAAAGAAATTAATACCCATCTTACAAAGTGTTGAGAGGATTAATTAATTATTTAACAGTGAAGTGAGTTGATGTTAAATGTTAAATATTTATTACTATTAATATGTAATTAGTACTAAACTCATCCAAAGAAGGATTAGCAGTACTAACAATCTCCATTCAGGAGCAATGGCAAATTTTAGTGGCTTGAACCCTCACCAGAGACATTAATGTGCATTTTGTGGTTGGGTTAGCAATTTTAAAAAAAAACAAAAACTTCAATCGGTGTGTGTATTGAGGATGAGGAACCAGACAGAAATCTGTAAATGTTAAATCTTGCAAAGTAGATCTGAACCATTCCCAACATGGGCAATTATATTCTGCCTACTTAAAATGTCTCTGCAGTTTTTACTAGATTGTTAATTTATCATTCTGCCAAAAAAAAAAAGGGAGGTATCCCTTTCCCAACATGATCTGTGCCCCCAAATACCTTAGAAGCTAATATCAGATATGACATAATGAGGAAGTAATAAGATAGTAGGGTTGAAAGACAGGGTTAACATCTGTTGGATACTGTGGTTATTCAAAAAGTGCCAATGGTCAGCATAGTGGAGTAAAGAAATTTTTGTTTGTTAATAGAAGAAAGGAATTTCTTTGTTGGCTAATTTCTTGTTGGCATCACAGAAGTAGTCTTGAAGAAGCTGAATAAAGGAGTCATCTTGTCTACATGTTGACTTTAAAGATTTAAATTTTCTCACTTTTGTCTTTGGGGTCTGTTTTTAGATTCCTTATTAGTTTATGGTTTTTGACATTTGGTAGAATATGACTTGCATGAGAAAACACCAAAATGGTCTTTGTTTGGCAGCATTTTGGTATCAAGTAGACATGTGAAATGTTACATGCATTACATCAATTTTTCACTCTCGGCTTGTCTGCTAAAGGGTTTTTGTCGTGTTCTGTGATGCTGGTTCTTTTAATTGTTTTTGAGGTCATGATCACAAATCCCACTTATTGAGATTTCCTGCCTCTGCTATCCTCTTCCCCAAGATTGACAGTCAGGTATGGTGGTACAATATGGTAGTTGTGTGCATCTGGAAAACCTACTTTAAGCAATGTGTGAATACAAATGCACAAGTTTTGAAGGACATGAATTGAAAGAAATTAAGTGTTGTTCTGTTATGTCATTGCTTTTTATCTTAACCCTACAAGGCAGTGGCTCCCCAACTTGTTCCACCGCTTGTGCAGGGAAAGCCCCTGGCAGGCCGGGCCAGTTTGTTTACCTGCCGCATCCGCAGGTTCGGCCAATAGCCGCTCCCAGTGGCCCTGGTTCGCTGCTCCAGGCCAACGGGAGCTGCTGGAAGCAGCGGCCAGTACGTCCTTCGGCCCACGCTGCTTCCAACAGCTCCCATTGGCCAGGAACAGCGAACCACGGCCAGTGGGAGCCACGATCGGCCGAACCTGCGGATGCGGCGTGTAAACAAACCGGCCCGGCCTGCCAGGGGCTTTCCCTGCACAAGCGGCGGAACAAGTTTGGGAACCACTGCTATAAGGTATACAAAAGCAGTCCGTTCTGCCTTCTCAGAAAAGGTAACATGGCTGCCTCTGAAAGGAGTGGCACGGAATTTCTCATTCTAATCCTTTCAGAGCAAAGTAGGGAGATGATTGTCTGCCATTAATGAACACTGAGTGGCATAAAGCAAAACTCTGAGCAGGACCTTACTTATATTAAGACAATTCCATTTTTGGAGTATAGACCATAAAATTCTACATTCTCTTAACTTGGTCTTTTAGTTACAATTAGCTCAGAGTTGTGCAATGTGGATATTTGCCTTTTTAAAAATTATTCTTTGATGGAACTAAGAGCTTTGTAATTAAGATAGAGAGCCAAACTTAAGTCCCAATGACTGAGATACAAGACATTTCCTGGCGGTTAATAATCAACAAGGAATGCCTCTGGCCATTAACCCCAGCGAGACATTAACCCCAAAGAATTGCCTTGTTCCAAGGTCATTACTGCTATTACACACCAAAAATGGCAAACAAAAATAGACATATTGCGGTTTTTTTAATGGTTAATGTCGTTTCAAAGGGTATGTAAAAGGCATTGCTAGAGAATTGATTCCCTGTACACAAGCAAGTCAAATTGCTTGAATCTCAACATTCCATTCAGTTTATAATGATAATAAACCCAAGTTTGGATGATTAAAGTGGGAAAAGTTTCTAATGTCAGGATCTAGTTATTTGTTTAGTTTGTGTGTTTTTCCACATACACTCTGTAGCAAAACAGCTGGAAGTGAACTAAACAGCCAAATGAAAGTTTATAAAGCTTGTGCTTTAGTGAAAATGACTTTCTGTATTTGTTTGAACTTCTACACATTTCTTCTGTTTGTTCTGATAAAATAATAAGTGTAAATAATTGAAGACTATTTAGTATATATTACACTGTAGGAAATAAAATTCTTTAAAAACATATATTGTGAAAAAGATGCAACTGAACTGTATT